TAAACATCAAATAAGTGTTTCTCAAACCAGCGATGTGTTTCTGAGAGCTTTAGTTTTAATACGTCATTTGACGCGAAGAAGAGAGGACGCAACATCATGATTGACAGCTCTGTGGCTCCTGCGGCGTTCTTTCTCGTATAGGCAGAGTAAAGGAGAAGATGTGACCAATACAAACACAAGAGTCATTTTTCTTCCATTACTGAGTGTCTCTTCAAGGAATCCGTTCTGCCGAGGACTGTACTGATCTGATAGGATCTTTGTTTGCTGTGATGTCATCAGCCAGATCCCCCGCCCTCTGCGCATGTCTTGGCTCAAAAACGACATCACCAGCGTAAAATATCAGCGCCCATTGCAGGGGTATTTTGGCTTCAAATTTGTACAACAGAAGGAGATGGCGACTTGACGTTCATATTTACGTACATTCAAAGGTTGGACCATGAACACAGAAACCAAATCATTCAATTCACACACTTGTCATGGACTGAAAGTGTGGGTCAAGGCCAGACGGCGATGAGGATCTGAAGAGGTCTGTTGGTCATCAGCTGGTCTCGGGTCCTCAGTCCAGGATCATGAAGTCTTCCTCACTGTAAAGGTTACAGCTCACTGTGGTGGAGGGTTAGCAGTGCTGGCCTTCAGGATGCCCCGCAGCACCTTGTAGTTGTTGAGTGGCTGGTTCTCTTTCGGGGGGTAACAGGGGCCTCGATCGGTCGCGTACGAGTAAGGAAACCGCAGCACCCAAAGACCGTCGGACGGTAACACCAAATCTGTCTGCTCCGGGTGGAAAACTGGGCAGGGAGGAGGACCAGGCTGGACCTGGAAAACAAAATAAAGAACAAGTTATAAGAAGAAGTTTGACACAACCTTCAAAATGTGATGATTCCTGAGCAATATCTGGAGTGATCACATGAAGTATGATATAAGAACACTTACACAACCGAGCTTCAGAGCTGTGCTCAGAATCAAGAAAATGTGAGAACGTGTAAAGACAGCGTCGCTCTCTCAAATAAACAAGTTTCTTTACCTGCGCCAAAACATCTCTGTCACCTCGGCTGGACCAGCGTTTACCTGAATACCTACAATTTATCGCTGCAGATAAACGGATGGATAAATACTGAATTCTTCAAGTTCACTTTGTCCTTGTAGATTCATGACGAGTCCCTCCGCTCTGAAGCTTCTGAAGCATCACTGACGGTGTTTTCTGACTCAAAGCCCCCGTTAAAAGAACGAACCGCCTCCTGCTTCCAAAATCTAATGTCAGAAAAAATCTTTCAAAGATGTTTAGAGCTCAAGTGTTTAATATCTCCATTCAGACGTGACCAAAATATTTTCTCACCATATAAGAGGCAGACAAGAGGAAGTATTTAAGACTTAACCTAACACCGTTTCCTCACAGTTTGGGGTGTTGTATTAAATTTTATTTATGAACCGTGAACGATTAAATCCTCTGCGGTACAGTTTTCCCTCGCAGTCTTTCACAGCGTGTTGAATCCCTCCACATCTTTACCTCGTTAAGACTCAGAGCCCTCTGGGACTCTTTTTTAAAATACCCAATCATGTAACCAACCTGTTTGCTAGTTAAACTTACTGAGATGTCCCACCCGGCCTTCATCGGGGTCATGAACGCCACAGATCGAAATGCGTACTGTTCAATAAAGTTATTCAAATTGATCTTCACTGTAAGTGTTGCTGGAGCTTTTTTTGACCTCTTCAAGCCTTTCACTCTCCGTGCAGCTTGGTAGTTGGTGAAGTTGTACATTTCTGTATTCATTTGTTGAATGCAATTTATTTGAGTGTTTTCTTATTTTTTAGGATTAACACTAAAAATGAACAAAACACCCAAATGAATTGCATTTAACAAATGAATACCAATTCTGATTTGTGCGTTTGAAGTGTTTAAAGTGAATCAAAATGACATGTCTGATCCGTGGTTGATAAAACAGCAGCGCCTGAGAATGAGAGAACCGTCCCTCGTCATCTGAAACTACTCTGCTTTTGTTGCCACTATCCCAACTGTTACTGAACATGTTGTCAGCATCAAATGAAATGGAGCGTCTGCTTTTCTGAGAACACTGACACTATCCCTTTGTGCTATTTTCAAATAAATATTGGGTTTCAGTCTTTTTTGCAAATCATCACGTTCTGTTTTTATTTTACACAACTTTTTAGGAAATGGTGTAGAAACTTTTGGATAACCTCTGAGGCTTTTTAAGTGGAAACTTTTCAAATCAAATGTTCTTCAGGGACTTTAAAGATTTGTATATTCCTATGAACAAAGAGAATAATCTGGGTTTAAAGAATGGGATGCTAAATTTCTCTGCTTGACTTTTTCAAGACAAAATTCTAATCATCTCTGCATATGTTCTCCTTTTTGAACCGCTTTTTATTCCAGTAATGTTTATTAGTTATTCTGATAGTTTTGTTTTGATTATTTGAATTTATAAGCTAAACTTGCTAAAGATATCGTGTAGTTCATTATGGGTTTTTCAAAGTGTCGAAAGAGGTGATACAGTGAATACTTGTAGCCACTTGCTTACCTGTGGGTTGAGAGTGACCTCCAGCGGGGCGTCAGGCACCACGATATAAAGGCGGGCGAGCTGGGCAAAGTGAGCTTTCACACCGCGTCCCTGTGATGGTGAGGGGACGTACAGCGGCATGTCTGTGTTTAACACCCTGGTGGCGGGGTCTTTGGTGCCCCCCGGCCCCAGAACCTTCACTATCTTATCAGGGCCGCAGCTGATGAAGCGCCTCCCCCTGCTGTCCTCGTACTCGAACCCAACAAAGACCCGAGCCGTGTCGTCCCTCCTGCGACTCCTACCCAGCCCCCCGGTGCTTCCTCGCTTCCCCACCAGGGTCTTGTTAGGAGCCGGCCATGACGAGGTGCTCCCGTCTAAAGGCTCCGTCAGTCCCGTGTCCTCCTCCGACCGAGAGCGGATCACCAAGTCCCACGGCAAGAGGAATGAGGAGCCGGGGAGGAAGCCTGGATGCTCCAGACCCGTGTGGCAGTTGTAGGACTTGGCTGGACCCAGTTTGACCAGAGACCAGCTGGAAAACTTGGGCAGCAGGCCTTTGGCGCAGCCGGAGTGCATCATACCGGGGAGGTACTCCACAGTGGAGGGCTGGCGGTCCACAAGGCTCGGCCTCTTCTGCTGGACTTGAGATTCGTTTCCGTCTCCGTCCCCGTACGGCCCCAGGCTGTCGGTGGACTGGCCCAGGCTGAGAGCCAGGCTGAGGCTGGGGTCTCCAGGGGTGTGGCTCTGGGCCGTGCTCGTCTCCTTCAGCTTCTCGGTCTCACCAGACCCCGGCGCCTCACATGGGACTTTCTGAACTTGTTGGTTGGAGGCTGGAGCCGGGTCCGGAGTGCTCGGCTGGAACACGGGAAACTCGATCCGCTCCAGCTTCCCGCAGCATTTCTCGTCCAGTATCTACACAGCGTTACAGAACGTGAGCAACAAATATATGTGAAAAATATATTTGAGATTAAGAGATGTAATGACATGTAGTGTTTAAAATGTTTTTTATTTAAGAGGCTGATAACAAAAGATCTACAAACAAGCTCTAAACCCCCCAATGCATTATCATTACTGACAAGTTTTTCTGCAAACAAAAGTGGCCAAAATATCTTGAGGTTCATCCCTAAATCAAATTTTCTTTATTAACTCACTATGAATGTCATTGCTGTGATCAGGACTCTTAATACTTTGTTTCTGTGCTCACAAATATTCTAAGATTTCTCTAAAAGAGCGTCTAGTTTAGCTTTAGAAAACAGGGCAAGGAGTGATTTGGGAATATCCTCAGAGCACCTCTGAGCGTGTCATAAACTTTGATCTCAATGAGTGGACGGGTCGAACCCCTTTGCTAGGCTTGACACATTCTTTTAAAAGCTGTGATTGGGATGAGCATGAATCCTGACCTGGTAGAAGTCATAGTTGGCCGCCTGGACGTCAAACGGATCCTCTCGAGGAGCCTGTTTCCTGCCACAGTTGCAGGAGCTGGTGGAGCGCCCCCTGCTGTTGTGGTTCAGGATGGGAGGGTTGCGGTCAATGTCAGGCTTCTCTCCTAAAGAAACAAAGGTCAGATTAAATGTTTGTGTTACTTCTTTTGAATATAAATATATATCCAATGCGTGGTCAAACTTTTAGAAGTGTCTGCTCGTTGTTGAAACTCTCAACTTTAAGTGTAACACTCATTATTATGAGATCACTGTTAATAAAAGTACAAAGAAGATTCCAGCGGGCATGTTGCTTCTGTTTTATTCATTCTGAATTTCATTTTCACCGGGCTTTAACTTGATGCAGAAACAAAAGTGTAAAATGTAAGTGCACCTTGCTGAGGCAGCAGGTGGAACTTGTGAACACAGTGTTGGTCGGTCAGACTTCGCTCCTCACACAGCTGGTGCCCGTTGCTCCAGAACTTGTAGCAGTCTTCGTGAAGCTGCAGTGCGTACCGCTGGAACGCCACGCCTCGGGCATGCTGGCTGTACACCCGCAGCGCCTGTGCCAGCTGATTTTTGTGCACTGTGGTGGTGTAGTTGTGGGGGAGGTTGGACTGGTACGTGCTGTGAGCCAGAGGCAGAGCTTTCTGACATCTGTTTTCAGAGAACTTTGTGTCTGCGTCCAGAAAACCCTCCAACACCTTCAACTGGCTTTGCACTTTAGTAGCTAGCTCTGCGATTTCTTCTTCTGTGTTTTTGATCAGGACTTGGTGGAGTCTGCCGGCAACCTGGACCCACTTGGAGTACGTCGGCAGTTCGAAATGTGAAGGCTGCGGGTTTCGGCCGACGCTGTCGTCGAAGCCTTTCTTGGTCAGGACCAGCTCTACGTGCTGCCAGAGGAATTCCTTCAAGCTGCAGTCCACCAGCTGGCCGCCCATCGAGCCGCTGAAAGATTCACAACCGAAGCTGGCCTGCCGAGCCGAACGCCGCATCTGCTGGTAACGCCTCGGCCCCGACACCGGCGTGGTGGACTCCTGGTCACCCAGGATGCAGTTGGATCGCAGCTGACTGATCAAGGTGCCCACAGGGTCCTCGTCCATGGCCGGTATCACGTACACAAACGCCTGGTTGGCGGGGACGGTGAACAAACAGTTGCTGCTCTGGTTGGTCAGGACTCTGCTTTTACGGAAGATGCGATAGATTTGGTCCTCCAGCGCGTGCTGCAGCCTCCTCCGAGGAGAGTGCTTCTTCGGTTTGTCCAGATTTCCTCCAGAGTCGGAGCCATTGGAGACCTTTAGGACAAAAAAACAAGATAAACATCAGATGAGTTTATGTGAACTTCTTATAGTTTACTCGACTATTCTGTGACTGCATAGCTTTAACCAATGCTGTTATATCATAACATGTGTTACTGAAAGTAAAAAGCATTTTGGGGATGAAGTCTGTTGACTCAGAAACAAAGAGTTAGATGAGGATCAACTCGTAGCTTGTTTTTGTTACAATAAATTCATTTATGAGGATCTTAATACTCTAACTGTTTTTAGGTTTTGTTTATTCTTACTTGTGATTCCAGTTTAATCTGAGGTCCTATTTGTGTTTCCAGGCGACCAGGATCTTTTGTGTACTTTTCCAGCAGAATTTATTGTAAGCAGGAATTTAAATGTACTTTTTTTTAATCACCAGGCAACATGGCAAGTCGATTTTTAAAGTTACCAGCCAACCAGATTTTCTACCAGCCAAATTTGCCCAATCTGGCAACACTGACTTGTCGCATCATTTCTGCAGCCTGCCGATTCAAACAGACACAGTGACATTTGCTTCATTCATCACCAGCCAAAAATGGCTAGTCATTTTGGATGAAAGAATGAACTGTTTTGGCACTTTTGCTTGAAAAAATAAATTGATCATTTATGAAATGTTTGCCATAGTCAGTAATTATTTGATTGAGTACTAATGTAATTAAGAAGACGCAACATGTGTGTTTGAATGTATAAAAAAACTACCACTTGACAATATAGACCTGAACATTATTTGAAATCCATGTTATGTCATCACCTCTCATGGTTGCTGCAGATTGCTGCTTGAGGTTTCTGTCTGTTGAACTGAAGTTTGTCCATGAGACTGCAGCCAAGTGCTCACTAGTAGAACTTGGATCTTTGTAAATAATATTACAAATGTTATTGTCTTTTAGGGCTGGGCGATATATCTAGTTTTTAAGATATATCGATATATTTTCAATCCAGATATAGAGTAGGACTACATCGTTAATATCGATATAGTTCATGTTGCATTAAAATAACGTTACACGTTTCTTCTGTAGAGCTGCCAGTTCACCTGTTTCTCATCTCACTGTCTCTCCCTCTTCACCCTGCTCCTCTCTCTCTCTCTTCACCCTGCTCCTCTCTCTCTCTCTCTCTCTTCAGCCTGCTCCTCTCTCTCTCTCTTCACCCTGCTCCTCTCTCTCTCCCTCTTCACCCTGCTCCTCTCTCTCTCTTCACCCTGCTCCTCTCTCTCTCTCTCTCTTTCTCTCTTCACCCTGCTCCTCGCTCTCTCTCTCTTCACCCTGCTCCTCTCTCTCTTCACCCTGCTCCTCTCTCTCTCTCTCTTCACCCTGCTCTCTCTCTCTCTTCACCCTGCTCCTCTCTCTCTCTCTCTCTCTTCACCCTGCTCCTCTCTCTCTCTCTCTCTCTCTCTTCACCCTGCTCCTCTCTCTCTCTTCACCCTGCTCCTCTCTCTCTCTCTCTCCCGCTTCACCCTGCTCCTCTTTCTCTCTCTCTCTCTCTCTCTCTCTTCACCCTGCTCCTCTCTCTCTCTCTCTCTCTCTTCACCCTGCTCCTCTCTCTCTCTCTCTTCACCCTGCTCCTCTCTCTCTCTCTCTTCACCCTGCTCCTCTCTCTCTCTCTTCACCCTGCTCCTCTCTCTCTCTCTTCACCCTGCTCCTCTCTCTCTCTTCACCCTGCTTCTCTCTCTCTCTCTCTTCACCCTGCTCCTCTCTCTCTCTCTCTCTGAGCCAAACTCAAAAAACTAAATGCTAAACTAAGCTTAAGTCCAAATGGATAACAAAACACACAACTGTGTTTATGCAGAAAATTGATTAATTTCACGAAACAGGTGGTTTGTTTTCATGCACATGTTGAACTTGTGCAACTGACTGTTAATAAAAGACATATCGATATATATCGAGTATCGCCATTCAGTGAAAAAATATCAAGATATGAGTTTTGGTCTATATCGCCCAGCGATATTGTCTGATGTGGTGAATATTTAAAATAGAATGACGTTCATTTTGTTGAGATTTGGTTCTTTATAAATAAAAACACATTATGTATCTGTTGGAGGCCCTGTCAGATAAGTAAGCTGAAATGAGGATGTCGGGGCCCCTGAGTGTCCGTGGCCCCAAAGCAGCAAAAAGCGTTACCACATGTGATTAATTAAATTTAAAAAAAAGTTGATAAAAACCGAGACCTTCAGAGTGCCGTTCATCTGGAAGACAAAGAGCAGGCGTGGAGGACAGGGCCGACAGTTCACCTTCCACTCTTTGGACACCGGGCAGTCTTTGATGGCAGCCCGGATCAGAGGCAGCACCTTCTGTCTCAGGGCATCCAGGGCTCTAAAAAGCCGGTCGTAAGTCACATCGAAGGTCTGGTTCGGGTTGACGAGCAAGAGGACGTGGCACACGGAGAACATGTAGAGCAGGTGGAGGCAGTGCTGTCGGTCCAGACCTTTCCAGAAATCGTGCGCGTCGGAGTGTCCCGCCGCGGCGCTCAGAGCCTGGCAGGCCCGCAGGAGCTGCTGGCTGTCGTACACGGAGGACAGCATCAGGTACAGCACCCTGCTCTCCTGCTGGTACAGCGCCTGGATGTGGCTGTCCGCGGTGCCGCCGTCCTCCGCCCCGCTGAACAGAGAGAAGATGTGTTTGTCCGACAGATTGTTGAGGAGAGACTCCTTCAGCGGGCCGGGCTGCATGGTGCTTTTACCGAAGATACCGACGACGCACAGGCCGTCCTCCCGGTAAGCAGCGTCCTCTGTGAAGTCCGCCTGCAGCAGGGCCCCCATGCTGACAGGGAGATCCATGTTCGCTTCCTTCATGGTGACAATCAGGGGGATGAAAACAACGATGCAGACGTTTCCTGGTGTGCTTCCGGGTCCGTGAGCTAAAACCTCCGACTGGATGCAGCATTAGTACTTCAGTTCCTCAGGGGTGGGGCAACTGGCGGCCCGTGGGGCCACATGCGGCCCCCATCAGCCCTCAGCGTGGCCCTCAGGTCAACTTTTACACATCAATTAATTGGAAAACATGAAGAAAATATGACAAAATCTGTCGTGAAAACTAGAAATATGTCCATAATAATATTAGATCATTTGTGGTTGTTGAGTTAAATTTCAGACATCATTGATTTTAATCGTTGTTATGTACTACAATTTGGCCCCCTGGCAGTGAGAGTTAAATGAATGTGGCTCCTTGTGGCTCCCATCCCTGATCTACATGTTTCTAAAAGGCCGATACATCTTTTCATTAACACATTCAAACTACACAGTGTAAGCACATTTCATTATAATACCATTTATAACGTGAGAGTAAGACCGTGAACTGTTAACCAAGCAGAGTTGGCCTAAAATAGTCAAACAAACAGTGTTTGTTTCTGTTTGCATGATTTTTATTTTGCCCTGTTTGACATTAAAGATAAAGATAAAGATAAACTTTATTGATCCCCATGGGGGAAATGTTTTCATGACAACAGCTCAAGAAAACAGGAAACAGGAATATAATTATAAAACATAACAAGAAGTTAGAAATCAAACATATTTACATCAGTTAAATAAGGGGAGAAAAAATACAATAATAGAATAATTGTAGAATAATTTAGAATAATTATAGAATAATTTAGAATACTTATAATAAATGTGTTTTATTTATGTACATTTTCTCGTACAGTTTGTAACTTTGTAAGTGGATGTTTTAAAAGTGCTATATAAATAAAGTTTTACTTAGGCTACTAAGGCTACCTACTTACTGTAGTGGGAAAATATAGTCTTTGTTTAAAATGTATACAAGAAAAAAAAAATGTATGCAGAATAGCCAGGATCATTTGTATGCCATATAATCTAATAACAGCTATGCAATTACAAAACTGACATAATCACTTTATTGCACATTTTAACAGCTATAAATAGGCTAATGCTCATACTGGATATTTAAGCACTGAAACTGGCCCATAGACTTCCATTCTACATCAACAACCCCTTCATCCATTCCTTATCTGGCATAAAAACCATTACACAAAGACACCAAGCAATAGCCCTCAAGTATCTATCATCTGCCAGGAACAACCCCGCCCTCCGGAAAACCATCATGGAAGCACAACAAACAGTCAACACCCCTCTGTCATTTATCCTGCAACAGACCAAAGAAACCCCAGCAACTCAACCCTCCATAACCTAGTTTCCTCCCAGCCGATGCTGCCTGAACATATATCACACATCATGCACACACCCAGACAAACTGACAACATACATTTTACAAAGACACAAACGCACATTTCCTTTTTGTTTGTTTGTTTTATTTATTTATTTTTATTAATTTTGGTGCCTTGGTCTGCATGTGCCCTGTATACCTCAAGTCCTCTGCCTCCTGCCTCCTCAGCTGACATAACTGAACCCCCCCCCCCACCCTATGGATAGAAAAGGACACAAGCCCTGAACTATCCCAACAGGATCCTGATGATTTAGTCTTTAGTCTTAATGGATATTTAGGGTTCTAATAATGGAATTTTAATTCATATTTTTAAACTGTAACTGAGCTGGATCTCCATACAAGGGAGCCTCCTTTTTCAGTTCAAGTCTAGTTATTTATTTAAAATAGGGGGTGCACATGAATGAACATTAACATGTTAATCTGCCAGATTATAGCCATGGGCTAATTTCCATCTATAGTCCCTTGGCAGGTTGGTGGTAAACACGTAAATTGAGTTACATAAAACCACAATAAAACCAATACAACAAGTAATGACAAAACAACAACATATACTGTACATTAGTTAACAGAGACATATACATATATATATATATATATATACCAGTATAAAGAGTGGCTGTTTGATTTTGTTCAGAACAAACCCCTCCCCTCTTTACATATGCAAACACTTGAATAGAAAGAAAGGCATGAATATTTTGTAAACATGTACCATGTGTAAAGACAGAAACTGTGAAAATAACTCAAATACAGTAGAACAGTAGAACCTCGTCTTCTTGTTTGTTCACTTGATAAGAAGTAGCCTAATCATTCTCCTTCATTAGTTATTCAAGACTTCCAATGCTGCAGCTAAAAGCCTCTGAGACAGGTCACATGATCACTTACTATATATATCGCCCTGCACTAATGAAGGCTGCTCAATTGTTAAGACTCAGAAAGGAGGCTGAGGAGGAGGCCACACACTGACTAGTATTTATTGCATTTCACAAACATATAGGCCTAGTCTATCTGAATTTCCACTTGTACATCTAAGCGTTAGGTAGGCCTATACATAAAGGTAATTTAGATGTTTAAAAAAAAGTGCAGGATAAAAATATATTAAACTGAAATTACAAATGGTCAAAAGCACAAGATGGTATTTATTCAAAAAAGAAGAAAACAAAAAAAGTAAAGGTTAGGCTATATTGATTTATTCCAACTGGATGATTTGATTAACTTCATTGAATTCGTGTGTTTTATTAAATCAAGGTTCGACCGTAAAACACTTTTGCATCTTTTTATTAATTTATTGTGTTTTAGTTTGGGACCGCAGACATGAAAATAGGCCGCGTTCATTAATAGCCTTGTCTTTAAAGGTCAGACGTCAGACGACGCTGCGTGCGCGTCCTCGACCCTGCTGCGTCCTCTTTGACGTCACCGCCGTCTGATCATCCGAAATCCCCTGATAACGTGACGCGCGCTCCCGCTCCGCTCTGAATGGGGTCTCAGTCCAGCATCTGACAGCGAGCCGACTCCGGTAGTGCAACCGCAGACGCCACAGTCCCCTCCATCCCGTCAGGACCCGCTGGTTTTTTTTTCTGACACACCGGTTGTCAACGACTCCGCTCCTCCCGGTAGTTCACACTCATTCAGGTTAGCCTTGCACTACTGCCTCTTGAGAAGTTACTTCGGTTAGACTCTTTTTTTTTTTTTTCTTCTCTTCTTAACCCGGCAAGTTTTAGTAGCAGCTATACTGACGGGCGGAGCTGTCTTCTGTCTGTCCAGGAATGATAAATGATGGCCGGCTCTACAGCAGAGGAGAAAACCTTCCGACGGTTCCTGGAGCTCTTCCTCCGGGAGATGAGAATGCCTCTGCAGGAGAGCGACCCGGTGCCGATGCGCCCCTTGTCGGACCTGGTGACGGAGGACGAGGTGGAGGGGGAATGTCTCGACCTGTGTCTCCAACACCTCTACAAATAGTTGAGTGAACACTTTCTGTCATTGCATGCTGTTATTTCCGTGTGTGTAAGAAATTAAACTCCCTGCGGTGGCTTATCGGTCGTGTGTTTTGACCGACAGTAACTATGTGAGGAGCTGAGTGGAGGTTGCGACCCCAGCTGGGTCCCCTTTATATCAAACCTCCACCTGCTTCACTCCACTCTGGGTGTGTCCAAAACCAAGTTTGGACAAGTGTCTTTACTGAAATGTTGAAGGAATTAGATAATAATAATAAAAAAAAATGCATAAGTGAAGATCTTACACCAGGTCTGTGTCGCATCACACACTGTTTCATATATCTGTGCATGTCGTGCCACACATTTTTTTTTGCGCCAGTGGTGACAGTGCTGGAGGTCCACAAAAAGGTGAACCCCTGGATTTGCGTAACAGTACGACGTCATCATGGTGTAGAAGCGGGGGGGGGGAGGAAGCCATCGCCATCACTGCTGAGCGCATCTTCATGCAGGCTAAAAATAGAATCACCGGTTACGTTATTAGCCTCAATCGTTAGACTGGTCGTTACTGCTCTTAAATATAAATCCAAGACACGATAGATCGAAATGTCACGGATCGAGATGCTGATTTCTGGAAGTAATTGCTCGTGACATTTTGCAAAGAGATCTCAGTGTGTTCCTGTAAAAAAATGAGAATAACACGTTTCTAGATCATCAGCCTAAAGGGCACTCATCCTTTAAATTTGATAGGAAATGAAAAGCATTCTGCAAAATACAATTTTTAAGACGTGTGCAAACCTGGATACAAAAAATATCATTGTGTTCCTTACAAAAAAAAATACCTCTGCAAAGATGAGGACACATTGAAAGCAACTGAATAAAACCCTGAAAAAACAGTGTTTGTATGACATGGATCATTTTTGTGAATTAACAAATAGTCTATTCCTTAAAAAAAAAAAAAGAAAAAAAAAGGGGGCTGCTATGGCAAAAAAAAAAAAAAAAAAATCACTCTAAATGCATTTTTAAGACTAAGCGCCAATGACTTCATTTTGGCTGAAACTAAACTAAATTCTGCACGACCTAATCTTTTTAAGACATGGATGGACATGTGCACAAACAGTCACACTGTGAAGAGTTGGTGCTGAGAGTGTTCTGCCCTGAGCTCTGCTGCCTGTCCTGGTTTTGAATCCAAAATAGGTGCAGAAACTGTGCTGGGAAGAACAGGGTGGAAGGATTCATCTAGGGCAACCAGTGGCAAGGGGGCTGCTGCAGGCATGTACGTATGTCCCAGGAAAAAAAAAAGAGTGACTTTACTGCCCACTTTGACTGCAGACCCCGCCGCCCCCACCCACCCACCCACCTATAGGCACATTATATGCAGCGCCTCTCAGAAGGTCAGGCTGCTTTCCAGCCGTGACAGAGAGCATATGTTGATGGCAGGATGGATCTCATGCAGCCAGTAGTGCTGTCAGGTGTTTTCACCGAGCTGGAGAGGAGGATGCATTCACACACATTCGACCTGTTGGAGCAGATCAGATCAACACACCCATATTGCCTTTGTCACGATGCCCAGGCTTGATTGGCCAGTGAATATAAGGTCATTGAGCATCCAACACTCAACATCTTGCACAGCTTAGCCTCCCTTCCCCCCTCTAATTATGTGCTGACAGCATGCACACACACATGCCTATTCCCTGGTGATGGAAAAAATGGGAAGAGATTTTTTTTAGGTTATGTACCGAAACATGTTTTGGCCATTCATTGTTATAAACTCATCCAACTAACACAGCTCCCATGATGTTTCGATATTGTGTCTGTGTCCAAGACTCAACGGGACTGTCTGGCATATCTGAGTGTTTGATTCACGGCATCAGCCAAGACAGACATCCACCTGGGAGGTATTTTATTACATGATAGTTTCTGTGTCTTTTGTTTGTTTGTCAGCAGGATTATAGTAAAAGTACTGGAACAATATTATATAAAAAGTGGTCGTCTTTGTTTTAAAAGTGAGACAAATGAAGAATTGCCTTAAATCTACATTCATTCTGAGGTGACTGGAGATGCTTATCAGAAGATTACCCTATTTATCACTTGATTTATTACCTCAGGAAGCAGGTTCCTAATGAGTTTATGTTTTTAATCACAATTGTTCTTAGATTTTTTATGATCCTATTAAAAGTGAAATCAAAAACAAAGCAGGGTGGTCTTTCAGGCTTGTTGATTGACAAGTCGCTAACATGACAACCTGTTAACCAGGTAAGAGGCTTGGCAATGAGTATCGTCACTTCTGGCTCCAAAACGAGAAGGTGCTGTACAAAACACCAAACACAAGGCTTCAGATTAGAAGTATATAAAGCCTTCAGAGGAATGTCTATGGGAAGTATTCACTCAGTTTTGGAGCAGGTCCAGATCCAATATCAGTAATGGAAGACTTGACTTTAAAATGAGCTGGGTCTATTTGTCAGGAAGATAATGGAAGAAGAAAAAACTTCAGGCTCAATTTTCATCAGACTTGGTGGACAGTTGTAGCAGAGGCCAAAGCGGAAGACATTGAATCTGGGAGCAGATCCATTGTACAGATGAGCAATAACAATATTAGCAAGTCTCTCACATGGGGCAAAGCCTTGGAGGACACCTGCGCTCTACAAGTGGCACCTATAGTTTATATTCTGGTGTCTCAAATGCTGATGTGTTATAAATTTATTAACCATGATCGTAGATTTCATCCAATTAGTCCAACTCTGACGAGCATTAACTCATGACTCATGTAAGGTAAATACCATGTATGAACTTCAACAAGTTCCTCTACTCAACTGTTTTCCTCTTATACAACTCAGACGTACTTATTTTTAGCTACTTAATCCTTATTCTCCATTATCTTTCTCCTTCTCCACTACCGAATAAAATGTATTACTGTTTGATTTAGTACCTTTTTCTGACAGAAGTTGTAACTTGTCGCTTTGCAGACCAAGCCAGGTCTTTCAGTCAAGCGTTGCCAACAATATACATCATCCTTAATGATCATAGTGATCCATAAATGATATAATACACAATGTTTTGTCATTAAAGTGGCATATACTGTATCATAATAGGTACTTTTGATACCTACAATATGTAAATTGCTGATAGTGCTTCATTCAGGACTCATGCTTGTGATGGAGTTTATTTTACATTTCTCTTTTCAGTGTGCTCAAATAAAGGATCTGAGTACTTCTTTTATTACCACAGGAAAATCTAAAAAGAAAAGCTAATTTTTCAACAGCTCTCCGGGCGCACTGACAACTACAGTCCTTTTGATATTGAACAAAGCTGAAACAAGGAAAAAATGTGTGATTGCACGATGACTGGGTGTTGTAATCTTTTTTTGTTAGTGGACAGCTCTCCAAATCCACATGAGTGTGTGATTTCTGATGTCAGTGTTGCTCCTGCTGCTGGTCAGGTTTTGGCTGAAACCTGAAGTTGCTACAGTCATTTTAAATGGAGTCCATCCAGTCTGGCTGTGTAGAATGTATTTAACCAGGAGAAACCTCTTTTATATTAATAATCTCATTTACAAGTGGGCTCTGGCCAAGAGGGGCAGCGGTACAACACAAAGTTATAGACATAAAACACAGAGTTACAAACACAGAGCAACATGTCCTGCGTCACAGAGCAGAAGGTCATTAGTCAAAACATCTACAACCTGAAGCATCGTCCTCCAACACCTCCAATCTAATTTTAAAAAGATTTAAAGAAACCATCTCCCCAAGACATACCAAAATATCTGCAGCAAACCACTTAAGCAAGCTTTGTAATTTACCCCTCCCTCTCTCTTTTCTGGCTAGCATCATAAACAGTACATTTGGCTGGTTGGTGTCTATGATTCACTCTTTGGACCCGGTCCACCGAGTCATTTATCTTAAGAGACCCTACCAGGAGCTAGCTGCTCCAGCTGCTCCCAAGGTCAAGAAGGACACAACTTTTTAGGCTGTTTTATGCACGTTTTTTTAATCAGGAAGGTTTTTCAATACAGGCCAAGAAGAAAGGTGAAAAATTTAACAACATAACAAGGAATCATCTTCTTAGATCTTTGAAACCCCCACGATTTACTCCCCATAAAACAAAGAAGCTGTAGAAAGTGTGACTTTTGTCTGTCTGGAGAGAAGTAGGAATAGTGCCGTAACGCAGCTCCATCGTCATTACGTCTTTGTACATTCATATTGATCCACAATGTCTTAATATCGATGTCCCAGTCTGGGAAAAGTCACATTGCATATTCAAAGAGTGCGAGGAACAGCAATAAGACTTTTAAATGAATAAAACTTCATAAACACACGAGTGCAATCCAACTCCTTTGTGCAATATGTACTGCATATAATTCCTAATGTGTATAATTATTGTTTGTTTTATTACTACTGCTTTCATTTAGTTATAATCTCTTACCTCATGTATTTAAGATATACTCTTTAATAAATGGAGCCTCCCTGTTAAAGAAGATTGTACTTGTGTAACCACGGTGACAATAAAAAACGATTGAATCTTGAATGGACAAAAACAGACAGACTTTTATCACATTAAAAGACATACTGTGATTTAAATCTCATCACTTCAGCAGCTGTTCTTCCAGATATCAGTGTTGCCCGTTTAAAGTGTTTTGACATTAATAAAATGAGCCGTCAGTATTTGGTTGGAGTCAAAACATGCAGCCTCCTTCCCCCTGACACAAGAGAAACAGGGATCACGGCTCATGTATCAGCCCGTATTCAGAGCCGATACTCGATCTAATGCATCGCTTATGCTTCTATTAGCGTCGGTCTGCTAGCAGGTAAAGCCATGTTCTTTCTGCTCAACGTCTGCAGGAACATTTTTTTTCTGATCCTTGTGTGTCTTTGACATTTCTTTACATATACGTACATCAGTTGTCATAGTAACAACAGCCTAGGCGTCCTTGCACAGAGTAATAATAATGGTGTTTTTGTTGTACAGACTGAATGCGGCGGGCGCCAGGCTGGCCAGGTTTCAGTCACACAGGCAGGTTAATAACATTT